AGAACCCATCACACACCTCACTTGAGGAGCAGGTTGAGGGCGCTGGGCCGCCACCTCTGCCCCACCCTCTGCCCCTCCTGCGCTGGGAAGGACCGTGCACCTGTGCACCTCGTTTCCTAGATCTTCACAGGGATCAGGGGGGCCTCCTTCGAGGCCTGGACCAGGAGGTCCCAACCCTTCCCTTTGACATCGGGACATTTCATATTCTAGAAAGGTGCTTCTGAGGAGTCTGGTGGGGAGGCTGCTGGGACCCGGGAGGTCATCCTGTCGTCCCACCCCAATTGATGGCTGGGAAACCAAGGTGGGTTGCTGCCGTCTGGACATCACCTCTGCCTAGAAGCAAACCAATTAGCACCGTGTCTGATTCTGTATTCCCAGCGCCTGTCTTGTTATTGGGGATTTATGTCCCGGTCACCGTGAAGGACAGACGAGCGTCCGGGTTTCCATTGGGGGCAGCCTGGCCAGTGATGGCAGGAGGTGGTGCCCGTCTTGCTTGGGGCAGGATGGGGATTTGATTTCAGGGGGATTTGCAACCAGTGGGGAGCCGCCCTGGCCACATGGTGGCTCCGGGCTATTTTAGGAGGCAAAGGATGGGGGAGGGGAGGGGTGGCCTTGTTCAAGTCAGGATTGAATCTGCCCTTTCAGTGGGAGCAGAAAGGACCCAGGATGCACGGGGTGGAGCAGGCTGGCCCACGGCTGGGGCTTCTCCCACCTTCTTGGAACCCAGAATTAACACTGCACATCCTGACTCCAGTCTGGGCTCTCAGCAGATTGGAGAAACTGCTGGCGGGACAGGAGACCACGGCTGCTCACCTGAACCCTGGTTCCCCGGGGCCCTGGGTGTTATTATTAAGAACAGTCACTGGAACCATCTCATATCCCTTTGCAGAATAAGTTATATTTATTGAGCCCTCAGGGGAATCCCCTGGAGCAGGGAAAAGGAGCAGGGAAAAGGAGCTGCGGCTCCCTTTCTGCCTGGGCCCCTTCCAAGTCTGGCTCATGTTGGTTACATAAGTCTGTCCACCTCTTTGAGCCTCAGTGTCCCTGCATCCAAAGTGGGGACCAGAAACACCTAATTAGTGACACCCATGTTATTTGGTCACCTATGATGTTGGGCGTTCCACAGGCATGATCTCACATCACCCTTTACCATATATTAAATGTTTTACAGATAAGGAAACTGAAGTTCAGAGAGGGGAAGTAACCYGCCCAAAGTCACACAGCCAGAGCAAGTCACCTGATCCATTTTCTTTCACACCTGTAGTTGAGCTGCTTTGTTCCTCAAATCCAGCCATGTGGATTGGTTTCCCTCTGGGTGCCGGGCACTGACTTGGGGCTGGGGATTCATGCATAGACAGAACAGGGGAAGAGGAGATAAGGGGATGAGACTGGGCATTGGTAAGAACTGGACTCGCCAAACTGGAGACTCAGGGGTTTTATTTAGACTCTGGGTCATTCTCTGGCCGGAGGAGGGCAGTAACTGGAAARGGGATGTGGGGACTGAATCCTTCATTGAGCCAGGGGTAGGTGGGCAARGTAGAGGTTTTCTTCCTCCTCACCCCACCTTTATGGGGGGAAAGTCACYAGGCATACTGTGATGAGGCCTTTGGAGGCACCTTGGCATAGAGGAAAGAGCTGAGACTTTGACCCCAGTCAGATGAGGTTCAAATCCCAGCTCCGCCTCCCTAGCTGTGTGACTTGGACAGGTCAATTAACCTCTCAGAGCTTCTCTGTCTGCATCTGCAAAATGTGGATAGTCCTGGTGACCTTTCGGTGGTATCAGGAGGATAAAAAGAGATGATAAAGGTGTGAGAAAGGCCTGGAACACAAGTAGCACTGTTTTGTGTGTGTGTGTGTGTGTGTGTGTGTGTGTGTGTGTGTGCAGGGTTGGTGTTTAGGGCTGTGTTATCCTAGGTATCTAGGTGAAGCCATGTCTTTGTGGGTGGCCCTAAGCTGGCACCTGTGGTCATGCCGAGTGATTTCAACAGGCTGGGCAGGACAGAGAGCCAGCTGCAGACACATAAGTTCTGGTGCTTACAGATTGAGAAATCACTCTGGGCTGGGGCTGTCGCTCAGTATTCGTCCTGGGGCAGAGCCTCTCCTTCGGGAAGCCTCCTGGGATGTGGCTCCCTCTCTTGTAAAGTTGCCTAGCATGTGGGAGGCCCTGGGTTCCATCCCCAGCACTGAAAAAAAAAAAAAAGAAGAAGAAGGAAGAAAAAGAAAAGAAAGGAAGAAGGGGAGAGAATAAAATGGAGGAAGGAAGGGGGAAAGAAAGAAGGAAGAAAGAAAAAATAAACTCCAAGGGAGCGGGGCATGGTGCACACACCTGGAATCCCAGTGACTCTGACTTGGGAGGCTGAAGCAGGAAGATGGCAAGTTCAAGGTCAGCCTCAGCCAGTTAGTGAGTCCTTGAGCAACTGAGGGAGACCCTGTCTCAAAATAACAAGAGCTGGGGATGTGGCTCAGTGGTTAAGCACCCCTAGGTTCCATCCTCAGTACCAAAACCCTGGGGGGCTGGATGACCCGAAGTTTCATGGACCCTCAGCTCAGTGTGGAGCTAATTCAAGTCTGCAGAAGAAGTCAAGGGGCGGCAGCATCAATAGAGGACTGGGTGGAGGCCCGAGGAGGTGCTGGTCTGTTCTCAGGAGGACAGGGAAAGCCGGAAAAAGTTCAGAGGGGTGTGGCTGGGGTAACAAACCACCCACTCCAGCGAGCTCTATTAAGTTGATAACTCAAGTCAGGTACTGYGCAGAAAGGAAAGTCCCAGAATGACCCTGGTTGGGGGAGGGGTTCAGTGTCCTGGGTCAGCTGATGYAGGGTTTGGGGGAGACAGTTGACTGGGTGATAAAGGCATCCCAGGGGTGGGATGGCAGCTCAGTGGTTAGAGCGCTTGCCTAGTCTGGGTGAGGCACTGGGTCTGATTCTCAGCAGCACATATAAATAAATAAAATGAAAGTCCATTGACAATTAAAAAACATTTMTAAATAAATGGTCCCTAACCCACTCAAGATGCCCTGGGAGAATATGGGTAGCCACCTCTTTGAAAACTTCCTGGAGGACGAGGCTGTGTCACACCACTGAGGGAGATGGGTCTCTTTAGCTGGGAGAGGAGAACTCTCTGGAAGAAGCTGGCAGCCATGCGGCCTGACTGTGAAGGTGGAGTGCACCTTTCCTGTCACCGGGGAGTAGATCGAAGATCCCTGGGTGGGCATTATTGGAAGACAGATTCCACCCCCCTCCAGGAAGGTATTAGTTAATAGTGCAATGGCCCTCTCTGGTGAGCTAGTGAGCTCTTTGTCATGGGCATGTTCAAGCAGAGACCGGAGACTCAGGGCTRCTACAAAAGGGACAGGGTGACCTCTAAGATCCCTTCCAAGTCTGAGCAACTGTAATTCTCCATTGACAGACACTGGGTGTGGACAGTAAGCAGTGTAGATCAAGTTCAAGGATGAAGGACCGTGGGGTRGCCAGTACACAGGGTATATACCATGGTTGTCATGACCAACCTGGATTTACTTTTGTTGAAAAAACTTTCTGGCAACTGTTTAATTGAGACATAGTTCGTGTACACAACTCACCCATTTAAAGTGTTCAGTCTTGGGCTGGGGCTGTAGCTCAGCGGCAGAGCGCTTGCCTAGCATGCATTTGATCCTTAGTACCATAGTAAATAAATAAATAAATAAATAAATAAATAAATAAATAAAGGCATTCTGTCCATCTATAACTACAAAAAGAAATTTTAAAAAAATGAGATAAAAGTGTTCAGTCTTTAAAATGGAAATAAATTCATTCATTCATTCATCCCACAGCTGTTTATTGAGCATCTGCTAGGCATGCATCAAGCTTTGCACTGGTGTTTTGGAGGAAATAAAGGCCCTGACCTCGGGGGCAAGACAGGTAAATGTCCAAAGGAGAGAAATGCAACCTGAGAGCTGGACTCAGAGGGAAATGCAGGGTGCTGAGATGAAGCACCATGGAGCAGGGAAAGGGGGGCCTGGGGAGGGAACACCTGAGCTGAGAAGCAGCTCTAAAGGTCAAGGGTGTGTTCCAGGCTGAGGGAACAGCCAGGGCAAAGGCCCTGAGGCAGGCTGAGTCGTGTGTAGAGGACCAGGAAGACTTGCTGGGAGTGGGTGGCAGCTCAGTGCCCTACTCCTGTGGTCAAGGCATGGAGGATGCTTCCACCTGGGACTTGTCTCTGGTCACCTGTCCACCCCCGCCTGCCCTAAGAACAAGGATGCTTGAGCAGCACGTGAGTCTCTCTGGATTCCAGGGTCCTTTCTCTGCCTTTTACTCTCTTACTCCTCATTTCCCTAATATGGAAGGTGGCAGGACTCTTGGGTCATGCCACCAGCTCTGCCTCCTGCCCTCTCTGGTGCCTTCATGCCCCTGTGTGCATGCTGGACCTTGGGCGCTGATTCTGTAAGGGAATCAGAAATGACCCTCAGCCACCCATACTGAAATCTCCCCAGCAGGCTTTCCTGCTGTCCCCTGACCCCAGGGCCCCTTCCTCGGAGCAGACTGGAGACTCCCATTTGGTGCTCATTTATCTTGTGACTTTGGACCAGCTACTTAAAGTCCTCCTGTTTTCCTTTCCTGGTGTGTGAAATGCGGACCAAACCGCTTTGGGCAGAATGGTTTTGAGGATTGAGTGCAYGGCTCCTGTCACCTTTTAGGTGCTTCATGAATGTCACCTTCCTCCTTTTCCTCCCCAAGTTTACCCCCCACACACACACCCCGGCAAAAGAAAAAAAAAAAAAAAAGAGGGACCAGGCCCCGGTGAGCCAGAGGGAGGGCGGGTACTCACCCATGGGCCCTTCTCCCCTGCCGAGCCCCTCGGCGCCCCTCTTCCCCGCCGCTCTCCTGGCCCGGGCTGGGGCGGCGGCTCCTGGCACCTGCTCTGCCGCCCGGGGGCGGGCTCGGAAGACGCTCGGCCGCCTCGGGACGAGCCGGGCCGGGGACSGGCCAGCCGCGCACCTCCGCAGGTCCCGGGTGGCCGCGGGCGGACCGCGGGGTGCAGCCGGCTCGCGTCGGGAGTCCGCGCCGGACTCGGCACCGCGCTCCTGGCTCCGCACCCCCGGCCGACGCGCTGCCGGGACTGAGCCGGCAGGAGGGGACGCGCCGCGYGGTCCCCTGTAGATGGTTAGGTAGGTCTGGGGACAGCGGCGAGGCTCCTAGCCCGCTTTGCTTGGGGTGGCTGGGTGGGGACAAAACAGCAACTTAACCAAAACTAAGRTCGGGAAGAGGACCCCAAAGGGTGATGACGGCAAAATGGACTTCAGCTCCCGCTCAGCCGGTGGTCCCCAGCCTCCTCTCCCGGGGGTCCCCAGACTCCTCTCTCCAAGACCCTTCCCTGGAGACGGGCTTCACCAGATAACCCCCGTAGTTTCCCTCAGGAGTTGTGAGAGTCCAACTGTCCCCCGCCCCTAGGAGCCCSGGGATGGAATAAATGGAAGGGTGGGGGAGGGGAGAGCTAGTAACTTAGAGTGCGAGGAACTCACCGGCCCCACCCCCACCTGCTCATCACAGGCGTCGGAGGCCTTATTCCCCCTACCCCCCTGAGCTGAATACCCCATCTTCAGCCAAGAGGCAGAGGGGTCATTCCTGTGGCTGCCCTGCCCACATCACAGCTCCTAAACAGTCCTAGGACCGCCCAACCCTACGCCCATGCTACCAGGACTCGCTGGCTGGYGGGGTTATCATGGGGTTTGGGGATGCTGCTCTTCTTGGTCCTATAGRGAGGTGGTCTGGAAGAGCAGGCAATGTATGAGGCAGAGCTATGCCAGGATCCTGGCCCCTGGTGTGCCTAGGAAGGGCCTGGGTCTCCTGCATGCTGAGAGTTAGCAGGGCAACAAGCTGGGTTTCCTAGGCTTTGCATGGCAGCAGAAGGAAGAAAGGGGGTATGGAGGCTACTCCTCCCTCTCTCCTCCCACATCTCTTTAGAGGAAGATGCTCTAGTTTCCCACTGAGGGCCCTGGAAGGAGAGACCCAGGTTAGATAGCAAGAAGAACTTCCTGAGGGTGGATGTTCTTCAGGAGGATTCTCACTGACCAGGAGAGACAGCCCTATCTTTGGGGGCATCAGGAGGAAATGAAGCTCTCTGGAGCACTCAAACAATAGGGCCTGAGGACAGCAGAACAGGGAGAGGAAGTGACAGAGGACGTGACTTGCCCATACTTCCTCACCTCCTAAGCCCTCTCTCTCCCTTCCTGGGAGCCAGCGTGGACTTTCAGTGCCTCAGCCAGCTTACTCCCAAATCCTCTGCACCCAGAAATCCCAAGGAAGGTGACAGGTTTCCTCTGTTACTACTCTAGATAGGAAGATAGACATGGTTGCCTTGATTTTGTCCCATGGAACCTGCACCAGTTCCCTGACGCCTGGTGAGCTATTGTCCCCTCCCAGTCCTCCTGTTCTGGCAAAGCAGGACTGTGTGGGCTGACTCTATACAGGCCATCCCACTCCTCTAGGTGGGAATCCATGGCTCTTCTGGGAGTCTCAGGGTGTGATTGTGGGTGACCCCAGGTTCCTGGGCCCAGGATGGTCAGGGTGACTGTCATGTATGTTATGTACCCCCCCAAAAAAAAATGGTTTTCCTTTCTTTTTCCTGGGAAAGTGTCAGCCCTGGGAGGAGGTGAGGGAGGGGGAGGGTAGAGAGGCCAGAATGCTCCGTAGTGACTCCTCTGGGACACTAAGGGGGCATCCAGGCCCAGGAAGGCTCACTTTCTGCTTAGGACAGGAAAAAAACAAAGCTTCCCGGGGTCGGTGGGGAGGGGCTGGGTCCCCATACTCCTGTGACCACATGAGTGACTTGGATGGGGCTGCCAGGGTCCTTACCCCATCCCTGCATCCGAACAGGGAGACCTGACCCTATTCGCTTGCCAAACCTCGGCTGCCTCATTTGCAGGGCCTCGTGGGCTGTTCTGAGGATGAACAGAACAGAGATGGTGTTTCTACAGCACCCTGCAGGGCCCTGAAAGGAGAGACCCAGGTTAGATAGCAAGAAGAACTTCCTGAGGGTGATGGGCGCTTGCCACCCAGCGGAGCTTTGCCCAGCCTGGGCCTTCCTGGGGCTAGGGAAGGCTCCCGAGGCTTGGCCTCCAGCCCTTCCACCTGAGAGGTAGCTGCTGTGTTGCCACCACAACTCTGCAGGCAAAGGACCCAGGAGATTAGCTTAGTCCAGCCCTCTCTCTTTTAAGACGGGGAAACCAAAGCCCAGATGGGCAGGGACTGGCCCAAGGTTGGCCAGCCAGCCAGGCTCCCTGCTCAGAGCCAGGRCCTGGAACCTGGCTGGGGAGGGCAGGAGGGTGGCCACTGGCAGAGGTGGGGGAAAATGCCAGAGTGTAATTGGGCTCATTAAGGGTTTGCTGAGAGAGCCTTCATGCCCTGCCAAAGTCTGGGGAGAAGCCTAGAATCTTCCTCTCCAGTGACTCCTTTAGGAGAAACAGTCTTTTCCTGAGGACCCCCTCCCCAGGCTGCTTTGGAGACAACCGGCGCTCCATGCTTTGAGGCCTCCAAAGACCCTTCGCATCCCATCTTCTTTGGATGAACAGGCAGTGACTGAGGACCCCTCTGAAATCCAGGCCCTGAAGTGCCTTAGTCACCCAGTCAGAAGTGGCGAAGATGGAACCCCCCGGGGCCCTCCTGAGTGCTCCCTCCACCCACTGCCCCCAGTTCTGCACGGGGTCACAGGCAGACAGAGGCTGCCCACCTCTTGTGTGAGCCAGGCTTCCAGGGGGTGGCTGGCTGCACAGCCTCAGCCAACCTCTCAGGGAAGGTGGCAAGCAGATTTATCCCCCTTCCTGTGTAAATCCCAGAGAGGTTCGTGGGTCCACGCATGCTCTTCTTCTCTGCTCTCACTTTATGCTTCCTGCCTGCCTCTTTGGCTCTGGCCCTACCTCTTTCCTCCCAGGTTAGGGCTCCTGACACCAAGGCCAGATGGGAGCTGCACAGGCCTGAGCCTCCTAGGATCCTTGCTCTGAGTCTGCAGCCCCTGTCCCCAACCCAGCAGTAGTTCCAATCAGGGCTTGGTGGGCTCTAGGGAGTGGTGGGGTAGTGCAGTGGTTAAGGCCTCTGAGTCAGACCAGTGTAAGTCGAGGTCCAGCCCAAGATGTCCCACGGCCTGCCCACTCTGATCTGTGGAGTGACAGGTTGATAACAGTGCCCATCTCACGGGGTTGTTGTGAGGCCCTAGGTAGGGGCTGGGGGTGTACTCAGTGGTAGAGTGCTTGCCTACCATGTGCGAGGCCCTGGGCTCAATTCCCGGCACCACAAAATATTAATTGATTAGTTAATTAATTAAAATCAAAGAGCTTCTCTGGGTGAGGCAGTGGGCACACAGAAAGCCCTCAGTAAGTGTCGTGGTTATTACAAAGAAAAGGTAGCCTAGCCAGCTGAGGGGTGGAGAGGCAGGGAAGCTTCTAGAATCAGCTCTTGCACTGTCTTTCCATTTCTCCTTGAAGCAACTCCATGCCCTGTTCTGGGACTTGACTTACTCATCTGTTAAAAGGAGGGTGGACTAGGCCTTTCCAGTCCAAGTGGAGATCACGCTAGGGTGAGTCATGCTGGTGCTGAGTAGGGCCTGGGAGGGGTGCTGACCTACCCATGTTCATGGAGCCATTCCACAGGCCCAAGTTGCCCTAAGAATTGCCCACCATTCGTGTTTTCTGAGTGGGAACCCTGAATCCTAGGAGCAGGCTAGCTCCTGAGGGGACAGCTGGGAAAGCTAGGTCATGCAGGACAGGCCACAGCAGGCCCAGAAGCCTGGCTGGGGGGACACTATTAGCCCAGAATCCAGGCAGCACTAGGAGCCCAGAGGCTGTATATCATGGAGGTTTAATCAGCAGTGTGGCAGATATTTGTCTGCCCTCTTGGGCCATGTCCCCAGCGTGCCTGTCATAAATTGCACTGAGATTTCAAAATCTCCCTCTCCCTTTGCTGGCGGCCGGCAGCTCTCCTTGGCACCTCCAAGAAAGCCTCATTTCTCTGGGGCCTCCTGGCTCTTGTCACCTGGGCCACTCCCCGCMCCCCCCCCCCCCAGTCCCTAGCATTAGCACCTGGGCCCTCCTTCCTGCCTCTTCTTCCTGCTGAGAGGGTGCTACTGGAAGGCTCCTGGAGAAGGCAGAAGAATAGTTATGAGGACTGCCATCTAGGGGTGAAAGGATGCCAAGTGCAGGTGGTGGAGACCTTTGCACACAGGGAGGGGAATGACCTCCAACCTGCCTCTTCTGTGGAAAGACCTGTGACCCGGACCCCTGATGTGGCTATGGGGGGAAGCCTAGTTGCCTCTTGAGTGTGGAGAAATGGGGTGGCCTTGGACAGGGTCTCCACCTCTCATCTTCCCTGTAGATGCTCTCTGCGCCACCTGGAAGCTATTCCTGGTACTGCAGCCTGACCACACTGCCCTTCAGCAGGGAAGGGACCCTCAAATCACCAGGCATCTATGACCACTCAGACTTGCAGGCTGTATTAGTTTGCTAGAGCTGCCGTAACAAAATAAAACAAATTGGGGAGAACTCAGCAGAATTTTGTTCACACTTTTGGATGCCAGAAGTCCAAGATCAAGGTATATGGGCAAGGTTTGTTTCTTCTTCTTCTTCTTTTTTTTTTTTTTTTTTTTTTTTTTGGTACCAGGGATTGAACCCAGGGGTGCTTAACCACTGAGCTACATCCCCAGCCCCTTTTTTATATTTTTTTATTTAGAGACAGGGTCTTGCTGAGTTCCCTAGGGCCTCGCTAAGTTGCTGAGGTTGACCTTGAACTCACAATCCTCCTGCCTCACTCAACCTCCTGAGCCACCAGGATTTCAAGCGTGAGCCACCAAGCCTTTCAAGGTTGGTTCCTTCTAAGGATTGTAAAAAGGAATCTGTTCCATACCTCACTCCTAGCCTCTTGGGGGTGGCTGGCGATCTTTGGTGTCTTTGGCTTGTTGACGCTTACTGGATCTCTGCCTTCATCTTCCCGTCTCCCTGCTTTCGTGTATATATGACACCACTCACATGTACTGGATTTGGGGCTCGCCCTATATCAAGACGATTGCAGATTGCATCTTAACTAATGGCATCTTCGACAGCCCTGTGTCCAAATTGGGGTATGGTTCTGGGGGTGAGGATTGCAACATATTGAATCAGACACATGAGTCTCAGACATTCAGTGACAGCCTTAAACCATAGTATGGACACAATGACACCCACGCTGTGACAAAGCTACAGTGTAACATGTATACAGAGTGAGTCATACAGACTCATTTTAACAAACTCTGGGGAACAGAGATATTTACAGTGACTCAAGTACAATCATGACAGACACACAGGGTAATGGACAAGGTAACCCATTCACAGGCTGCAAGACATGGATACTCTACGGATTGTTAATAGCTGATTTTTTTTTTTTTTTGGTACCAGGAATTGAACCCAGGGGGCACTTAACCATTGAGCCACATCCCCATCCCTTTTTATATTTTGTTTAGAGACAGGGTCTCACTAAGTTGCTTAGGACCCCACTAAGTTGCTTAGGATATCACTAAGTTGCTGAGGCTGGCCTTGAACTTGCAATCCTCCTGCCTCAGCCTCTGAGCAGCTGGAATTAAAGGCATGTGCCACTGTGCCTGGCTTAGTAGCTGACTTTTGCAGGATGCTGAGAAGCATTTTACATAGATCAACTCATCCCCACAATGCATATATCATTTAGGGTCTGTTACTTATCACCCTGTTTTTCCAGATGTGCAGATAGAAGAAATGAGCTCAGTTTGCACAGCCAGTAAGTGCCTGAGCTGAGATTCAAACCCAGGTGTGGATCAGCATAGAGCTCTGACTCTACCAACTGTGCCCCTCTGCTCTGTCTATGTGCAATCCCCATGAACATAATGATGGGCACATGTTACGTGGGCCACTGCCCACAAAAACTCTGAGTGGTTTACTGAGACCTRGGGATGGGGGCATCCAGGGACTGCTGGTGGGATTTTGGCTGTGGTTTTGGGAAATAATTTTCCTTGTTCAGATGTGGGCTCCACCACTAGATGTGTGGTCTCACAAGAGCATTATGGCATCACATGACTGGTCTTCTGGACAGGGTGAACATGGGCCTGAGGACACAGGAAATGCCACTAGGGAGAAACATTAATTTGCTCTGGCTGCCTTCGCAAAGTACCACAGACTCCGTGGCTCAAACGACAGAAATTTATTTTCCCACAGTCTGGAAGTTCAAGGTCTGAGATCAAGGTGTCCTCGGGATGGTTTTTTTTTTTCAAAGGCCTCTCCTTGGCTTGAGATGGTCTCCTTCTCCCTTCATAAGATATTCACTCTGTCACTGTATCCAAATTTCCTCTTATAAGGACCCCTGTCATGTTGGGTTAGGGCCCACCCATAGGACATAATTTTAGCTTAATTTAACTTCATTTCTTCTTTAAAGACTCCATTTTAGACAGGTACAGTGGCACACGCCTGTAACCCCAGCGGCTCGGGAGGCTCAGGCTGGGGGATGACAAGTTCAAAGCCAGCCTCAGCAAAAGCAAAATGCTAAGCAACTCAGTGAGACCTTGTYTCTAAATAAAATTCAGACTAGAGCTGGGGATGTGGCTCAGTGGCCAACTGCCCCAGAGTTCAATCCCTGGTACCAAAAAAAAAAAAAAAAAAGACCCCATCCATCTTAGCTGGATGTGGTGTAACCTAGCAATTTGGGAGGCTGAGGAAGGAGTGTTCCATCTTAGTGAGACCCTGCCTCAGAATAAAAAATTAAAAGAGCTGGAGATGTAGCTCACTGAATTCAATCCCCAGTAACACACACACACACACACACACACACACACACACACACACACACGGATCCTCTGTCCAGATACAGTCACATTCTGAGGTACTGGAGGTTAGTGCTTCAACATAGGAATCTTTTTTTTTTTTTTTTTTGGCGAGGAGCAGGGGACACGAGTCAGCCCATAACAGAAGGGCTCAATCATGCTTCCTGCCTGAGCCTCGGGGTTGCCCCAGTCTGAAGGAGAGAGAGAGAGAGAGACAGACAGACAGACAGACAGACAGGACCTGCCCTCAGGAAGGCCCTCCTCTGAAGCACAGACAGGAAGTATAAGCACAGCTTCAGGAAGTGGAAGATGAACAGGTTTCAGTCTGAGAACAGGAGCTGGGCAGCCCCTGATTAGAAATGGTTAGAGGCAGGCAAGTCTCTAAGAAGTAAGTTGGAAAGAAGAGACTGCCTGGAAGTTGGGACCTGGAGGGGTGACCTGAGGGTCCAGGTTGGCCGCGGATGTGCTGTGTTCAGCAGACTCAGTCAGCTGGGCCCAGGTCTCTACCCAGAATACCAGCTGTTGCCTCAGCCTGGGTGGCCAGGGCAGCAGGGAGCATCTGGATCCATGTGGGGCAGGGGTTGGGATGGCTTCACACACTGTCACCATTTGTGAATGTCACCCTGCTGGGCGCAGGGCACAGGAAGGTTGGGTTTCTGGCCAGAGGCTGCTGTGTCTACAGTAAGCGCCACATGTCACAGGATTGTCAGCGCCCGCCGCAGGGCTGAGAACAGGACTCTAGGTTCCCAAAATATGACTCCACTGGCCTTGCTGCTATGTCCCCAGTGCCCACCTTGTCTCAAGACCTGAGTCTCCCTCTCTGAAGTTTGCTCTGTGGCCTTGCGTCGTTGGGGTGTCTCAGCCTCCCCGTGTGTAGGCGTGTCTCACACCCTTCCCCAAATTTCTGTGTTCTAAGCTTCTTTTCTTGAAATAGACCTCATTATGTTGGCTTTGGCCATCCTTGGTTTGGGGGGGGGGTCTCTGAAAAACTGGGGATTCACCTGGGACACCCGACTGGGGCATCCCCTGGTTGAGGCTGTGTTCCCTCTCTATGTTCACAAACGTTCAGTCTTCATTGATTTATCCCCCTCTCTCTCTGCCCAGGTATGAAGCGGCCATTGAGCCCATCTCCCCTGGGTGAGAAGGAGCCCCCAACATCTGGATCTACTGAGTGCCCCCCTCGGCCCCCAGAACCACCGAAGCCCAAGCGGGAGAGAAAACGGCCGTCGTACACGCTCTGTGATGTCTGCAACATCCAGCTGAACTCTGCAGCCCAGGCCCAGGTGCACTGTGGGGGGCGGGCCCACCAGAGGCGGCTGCGGCAGCTCAGCTTGGGGAAGACCCCCTCGGGGCCAGGTCAGTGTCAAGGGGCACTGCTCCCCCACACTTGCTCTGGGTCCACCCCGGGGGATCTGTCTGGACCCTGCTGAGGGCCTCTGGGTCTGTGGTCTCCCTCTGTGGGGTCTTAGGCTCTACGGCTCCCCCGATGGCATTGAGTTCTGTTGTGATCAAGACAACCCTTCTTCAGGATCTCTCAGTATGTGAGGGTCTTTAGGCCTCCTCTTGAAGTGGTTTTGGTCCTGGGGACTCTCCTGGGGGGGGTCTTAATCTCTAAGTAGCATTTCTCCAGTCTGGACCCTACAGGGCGTCCCAGGCCCCTGCCCTGGTTTCTGAAGATCAGGGGCAGCAAGATGCACAGCACTTCAATTGAGGCTCGGGGAGGCCCGTCTTCCCTTGGCTGCCAGACTCCTGGCCAGGATTTCCACCTCTCCCTGGCTGGGGTGATTCTGCAGAGGTTTGGCTCTGCACTGGAGGGGCAGCTGGCTCAAGGCAGCTTTCTGGGGGAAATGGGTGAGTGCATCCATGAGGGTGATGCTGGCTGACAGGCACACGGGCCATGGGCACAGGAAGAACGTGGGCTGCTGACCGGCAGGGAAACAGATTCACAAGCAGGCCCAGTGTGCAGAGGTGGGAGACATCCTTAGTCCTGGACTGGGGTGGCTGGGGAAACCCACCTTGCCGCCCAGCTTGGTAGCTTAGCCAGAGCGACACTGGACTCAGACACCTGTTGTTTAAGTGACACGATGTCCCCCTTCCACACAGAGAGTATCCTGGGGCTGGAGACCGGTAAGACCTAGTGTTCCCCACCTACCACTTCACCCCAAGACTGGGGTTGAGCCCGATGTGTAAGGGAGATTCTTCTTGGGACACCAGGAAAGGCCTCTGGAAGGAAGGGGTGCTGAGCCTGGGAACATGGGTGATGGGACAGTCTAGGGGAACTCTAGGCAGAGGTTCCAGTATAAGCCAAGGCCAGGAATGTTCTGGTGGTAGGGACCAGCTCCTCCATCCAAGCATTTGGGGCTGGACACAAAGGGTGCCACTGAGAAAGAGTGTATGTGACAGGTGGATGTTTCCAGAGTGTATGCACATGTGTGGTATGTATTCAAAGTCACTCATTCGTTCATCAGATGTTTATTGACAGCATACAAGATGCAAGCTGCTGTTTGGGGGAGTCATGTTTTTTGGAGGTGGGTACTGGGGATTGAACTCAGGGGCACTCAACCACTGAGCCACATCCCCAGCCCTATTTTGTATTTTATTTAGAGACAGGGTCTCACTGAGTTGCTTAGCGCCTTGCCCTTGCTGAGGCTGGCTTATATATTTATTTATTTATTTGTATATGGACACACAGTATCTTCATTGATTTTTACGAGGTGCTGAGGATCAAACCCAGGGCCTCAAACATGCAAAGCAAGTGCTTTACCACTGAGCTACAGCCCCAGTCCCCTGAGGCTGGCTTTGAACTCTCCATCCTCCTGCCTCAGCCTCCTGAGATGCTGGGATTACAGGCCTGTGCCACCATTCCCAGCCTGGGGGAGTCATGTGTTTAAAGGTATCCTATGTGCCTGTCAAGAATGAGCTGTCTAAATAACTCCACTTGCAGACAGAAACAGACCTCATGGAGGTGGGTCTAGGGCACTTCAAGAAGTCAGAGGAAGGAGAGGGACATACTGATATGAGAAGTCAAGGAGAGCTGTGACACTGATGTTGGATTGCTGGAGAGGGAAAGGGCCTCCCAGGCAGGACCACAACTAGAGCACTACAGAATGGTGAGTGGCCATGGAGTCACAGGACAGCAAGCACTGGGCAGAGGGCATGGGGTGAGCCCCATGTGAGGGCCTTCTCACTAGGTGGGCCTTTAGCCTTTGTTCCAAAGGTGAATGGCATTTGGAGCAGAACTTGATGTCTTTAGATGTCCCTGGCAAGGGAGAAGGGTAAAGCAGAACTTGATGTCTTTAGATGTCCCTGGCAAGGGAGAAGGGTAAAATTTAGGTATACATGAGAAAAAAGGGGGTAGTGTCTAGAAACACATTTTGGAGGTTTTTTTTGTTTTTTTGTTTTCCTTTTGGTACTGGGGGTTGAACCCAGGGGCACTTAAACACTTATCTACATCCCCAGCCCTTTTTATTTTTTATTTTGAGATGGGGTCTCACTAAGTTGCTTAGGGCCTTGCTAAATTGCTGAGGCTATCCTTGAACTTACCATCCTCCTGCCTCAGCCTCCTGAGTTGCCACCTCACCAGCTCTGGAGATTTTAGTGTAGCAGGACAGACATAGGTCTCCAGACTTGTGACCTATGGGATGTGGGGTCAAGACAGAGGGAGGCATCATGGATGATTTTAGCTATGGCAATACTGCAGAGGGCAGCTCAGTTATCAGAAAGGGGGTACTGAGAGGGGAGCAGGACCAGAGGGCCAGAATTGGATCAGATTGGCTTGGAGGGGTCACCAGGAGACAGGATACCTGGAACTCCATTGCAGACTGCAAAATCGGGCCTGGTATGTCATTATCCATCTGGGAATTTGCCCACCCATCACCACTCCGATAGCCCTGGCCTGGCCCTGTGTGGGATGCCGGGATCCCTGCCTCAGGAGTGCTGGGAGCTGCCTCTGGGCACTTATAGTCTGGGGATGAGCAGACCTGAAACCAGACCTTTCCACCATTCCTGCCGAGAGGAATGACCAGCATCAGGGGAGCATGGGAGAGTAAGGGTTATGCCTAGGGCCAAGGAAAAGGGGCCTCAGATTTCTGAGAACTCTGGCATTCTGGGGCTCCAGGAGGATAACCTGCTTTCTCCATTGGCCTAATTAAGTCTGGACCTACACTGGCCCCTGGCCCCCCAACATTCACATCCTCCACTGGCTCTCCCCTGTCTCCTAGGCCCTGGGCTGGCAGAGGCAGAGGATCTCAGGTGTCTGACTGTAAATCAGCAAGAAGATGCCAGCAACTCTGCCTGAGCTGGGGGTGGGGTGAGGCTTGCCGCCCTCCTAAACACCAATTCTGGCTTGGTCCATGGTGGGGACTGGATCATTGTGCCCCTCTCAACAAACAGCTCTTAGGGTGAGGCCAGCTGGAGCTCCCTAGGGAAAATGGAGAGCCCCACACCTGGTTCAGGAAGGCTGAGGTTAAGTGAGGGGAGGCCTAGCCGCTCGCTGAGACCCTGCGCCACGCCCAGACCTGAGGTCTCAGACCTAGAGAAGGCAGGAGGGGCACTTGTTCCCTGGAGCTGTCACTTCGATTAGGGGCCTGTGATGCTAGAGGCTTCCACAGCGACGGGGAGTCACAGGCAATGAGGCGGGGACCCTTTCCTCTCCCGCTCATGTCCCTGAGGCCATCTGAGGGAGGGAGGTATGAAGGTGGGGGTGGCTGTCTCCTCTCTGAGCCTCTTGCCAGTGCCCAGGTCAGAGAGGTCCTCAGCCAACTCCTGAAATCCTCACTCCCAGCCCTGAGTGGGGCTGGGATTCCCCGGATGGGGAAACAGCAGGTACCCCGTGCTTCCCCCATCTCCCCTCCTCCAGGCACTTCCCTAACTTCCCCTGGCCACCCCACCCACCTGCCCCCCACAGGAGGCCCTTTCATCCTTCAGGACAGTGTCTGAGGCCATCTTTCATCTCCCCCACCCCCAACAGGTATGGACACTGGAAACACATGTGGCACTAAGGATGACCCCAATGACTCCCTTGACATTCACACACACACACACACACACACACACACACACACACCCATCCCTTAAGCAACTTTAAGTGTTTTTCAACATCTGCAAAGAGAGAAAAGTGTGCTGGCCCAAGCCTCCTGGCTCTAACCCCCAGTACAGACCTTAGGCCAGCACCATGCAGAAGGGACACTAGGGCAAGGAGGAGTGACCTCCCCACTCTGAGCATTGCTCCGAGGGAACTGGTCATAAAGTACTTCCAAATGCAGCARGACATTCCTCTCCACCAGGCCATCCTAGGGACAGATGATGACATTCAGTCCTCACTCTACAAATTGGACTACTGGGACTCAGAGAGGTAAAGTGACATATCGAAGGCCATACGGCTACTTTGGCATCTCAGGTGTCTGACTATAAATCCTGTCTCACTCCACGCCACCCATCCTGCCCCCCAGCCCCATGGAGGAGAGCTGCATAGATATCAAGAGAGATTGGGCTGCCTGCCTGGGAGTGGGCAGGAGCAATGCCCACTGCCCCACAGGCTGGTGCCCAGCAAAATTATTCCATAAGTGCTCAGGGCCATGTCCACTCCTTTGTCCTATGCCTCCTCTAGCCCAGCTAGGGAGGGGAAGGGGAGTTTCCTAAAGCCAACCAGTTCCCACTCTCTTGACCAGACTAACTGAGCCATCCAATTCAGAGTGGGCCCACCTCCTGTCTCCCCCACCGCCCCCCCATCAGCCATTGCAACATAACACTAGAGAGGGAGGATGGATTTCAGGGCTGCAGCTACTGCAGTTGGTGGCATGTAGAGCCCCATGCCTCCCACCCTGCACCCTACAGGCCCCCTAGCTCCTGTTCAAATTAGTCCCTCCATCTCCTTTCCAAGCCTTGACCACAGAAGTTGGCTGCACTCTGGGCCCTGGAGATCAAAGACCGCAAGCTCGGGTCACGCCTGAGTCACTGGCTTGATGAGCTCCTCACCCCGCTGCTCCCCACAGATGGGTTAATTTCAGTCCCATCAGGAGGCCCCGGAAGCCCTCTAGCCTGCCCCCATCCTTTGGCATCTCCCTGGATTGCTGGATCCCCCCTTATTGACCCCCCCCCCATCCTGCGGCTCCTTGGGTGCAACCATTAAAGAAACTGTGCTCCGCCCAGGGAACCACTGAGAAGTTCTTGCAGTCTAACCAGTGCCTCCTGCTGCATCCTTCTTTGATGGCAGGTGGCAGGTGCCCTGGGCTCTCCCTGGACTCCTGGACTTCCATCACATTCCCTCCCCCAGGTATGACCCTGACCATCAGCACCCTCCCCCAGACCACCAGGAAAGGCAAGGCTGTCTGGGGAGAGAATTAGGGGGCTTAGCT